GCCTTCCCCACCTTCCCCTACCCATTCCCAGGGCAGTGGCCATAAGAATGAGACCAAACATCTTCCTCATCTTCCCACACGAAAGAACTGCAAGAAAAAATAAATTATAATCTTATCAATTTTGACAAGACCAGAGTTGGGTTCAGACTCAAGAAGCTCCAAGGATCAGATGCAGCTCGAGGTCATCCCTAAGCTGAGAGTCCCCAGGAAGGGTCCCCTGACTGTCCAACCTCTGCCACAAGGAAAGACGCTCTGCTGTACCTCACCAGAATCGAACCCGTCCCCTCACAAATGCAGCGGAAGGACACGGCTTTTTCAGAGGTCTCATGTGGGTCTCGGATGATGTGTGGAAAACACACGGTCTCCAGAAGCAGAAAGACCTGCGTCTGTGTTTTGCCTGAACCACTTCCTAGCTGTGCACAATTAGGAAACTCGCTAACGTGCTCCTGATCTGTACAATGGGAATAATAGCTCCTACCTTGTAGGACTGGAAATTTCGAGATGATATTTGGAGGTAGCTTGGCATATGCTAAGTGCTGAATGAATCGTACAAGAGAACTTTTGGAAAGTTTATGAAAACACATACTATAAATAAATATTTATAGGTTTCAAAAGTGTTGGCACCCAAATAAACTTGTATTTTAATTCCATTATTTCATGAACTTTTTTTTTTTTTGTAGAGGTTTTTACCTTAGGGCTCGTGCGCTCACCAGAAAGACAGAGAGACAGAAAGCGAAATCACCCCCCAGGGGGGATGGCCACGCCACAATCCCTTCTCCTCCATTCTCCTCTTGGGATTGTACGCCTGCACACACATGTGCCTGGAGTGAGTCACCCAGTCCACTACTTGAACCACAGTCATCTGCTTGGGAGTCTAGCAACGTAATCATTGCGCCATCTGCTGGTCCCCATCTTCAAGCAAATTTAATACCTATGATTTCTGCCGAAAAGGAACTGGAACCAACTGAATTACATATTTAGTACCCCATTCTTATTCAAAAAAACACCATTTATTGTTTCCTCCATGAGCGAGAAAACAGAGGTAGTCCCCTCTAGAGCCCCTTCACCTCGCTCCACCCTCAGCTTCAGCCAGCCCCAGATCATGCCTCTCCGACGTGCTCATACCTGGACTCAGAGAGGGCTCTGCATGTACATCTAGAACCTTCTCCTGTGAGTCACCTGGAAGAGACTTGTGTTTCACTTCTGCACCTTTTTTGCCTGACCCCTATTTTTATTCTTTTATTGGTTTGTTTGTTTTATAAATGTCCAGTTCTTGGTTTCTTTTTCTTTTTTAAAAAAAATTTTTTTAAATTAATTCCATTTGTTATTATTATTTTTTAATTTGAGAGAGCGAGAGGAAGGGAAAGTGAGAAATCAAGCCACCAGGTCCAGGACTGAAGCTGTGGTCGGCCATGTGGGAATCCAGCGTGTTTAACCACCATGCCGCCTGCTGGCCCCCCTCCCGTTTTTATTCTTACAGAACCTACGACCACTTGACCTTTCTATGTTTTGCTGTCTCAACTTTTAGGTAATGAAAGACCTTTTCTTCCTAAATTTTGCTACCCGTTAAGACCACTTGGGGGAACGTCTCAAAATTTTCCCTACTCAGCGGGATGAAATCAAATGTCTGCAGGTGGCCATCAGGACTTGAAATGTTTTAGACTCTCAGCTGATTCCAATGTTCAGCAAAGTTTGGGAACCAGTATTTGTTAGACATGTTTCTTTGTTCTTTAATGGCCACAGGGTGGATGTGTCACGGGGATGGGGAGAAGAACCCCTGATGGGATATGGTCACACCACAATCCGTTCCCCTCCATTTCTCTCCCTGTTGAGATTTTTGGGCACATGCACACACAAGCATGCGTGCACCCACGTGTGTGGGCTCAGTGTGTTTTTCAGACCATCGGCACTAAGAGTCAAATTGTGGTCGGCCATGTGCCATCCAGCTTTTGTCAGCACTAGGCACGGGTCAGCCTGAGTCCTGAGCTCGTTCAGAGAACGCCGGTTGACTCGGCAGGAGGACAGACAGCTGCAGAAGCAGCCCACGGCACTGGGAGCCTCAGTACATGATTATTCATCATCAGCTATTGGCTTTGCACTCTGCCCGGTGCCGGGAAAACCAACCAACAAACATAGAGGCCTTGCAAGGTAATGTTTTAGGGAAGAAATAAAAATAAATAATAAAGTGAAAAGGAAAGACCATGTAAATTAAATATACATATAGAACCAAATGTGATGAAATGGAAGCTAAACTTTCTCAGACCACCCTTCGGGGCAGAATCAATGACTTCCTTCTCTGTGGTCCTCCAATGCTACGTTGCAGACCAGCAGTGCGTTTATTTGCTCCGTAGACATGTTCACGTGCCACCTGTGTTCTAGGCACTGAGCCAGAAGATGGAATTATCGTTCGGCAAGATTTTGTAGCTGTCTTTCTCCAACTGCTTCCCTTTGTCCCTGGTGTTTTGCTTAGAAAAAGATTTTTGAAGGCAAGGCCTCACCTTGCTAAATTGTATTTCCAGTGTAAAACTCATTGTAGTGACTCAAATAGTATAGCAGCTGTCTCTGAAGAAATGATTCCTTAAGAGGCAAAATTATTCTCAGGGAGGAAAACATGGTTTCCTTGCCATAAAACTAGTCTGGGGGCCAGCAGGAGGTGTAGTGTTAAGGTGTATTAGTTAACTCCCATATGATGGGCCACAGTTCGAGTCCCGCATCTGGTGGCTTGAAAATTATGCTAGGTGTGTGTGCATGCATGCCCAGAATCCCCAGAAGAGAGTGGAGGAAAAGGGATTGTGGCATGACCATCTGCCTTGCAGGGTGATTTCTCACTTTCCCTCTTTCTGTCTCTCTCTGTCTCTCTCTCTGGTGACTGCACACACCCTATGACAAAACAAAACTATAGTCTGTACTAACATTCTTTCTCTATGGGAAAACAGTGGACTAAGAGTATTTCTGAAAAGAAGTGTTAAGGAGCGAGCATTTTTTTGTTCAAATTGAGCACATAAATTTATGGTCTCTTCTCCTAAAACCCTACTAGAAAAGAAGTAAAGGGGCCAGCCAATGGTGTGGGTCCCAGATGGCCAACAGCACAGCTTGAGTCCCTGACCCAGTGGCTTAAAAATAAATTGGGTGCCTGTGTATGTGCTTGCGTGCCCAAGATCCCAAAATTGAGGGAGGAGAATGGAGAAGGGATTGCAGTGTGGCCATCCCTCCTGGAGGGTGATTTCCCACTTTTCCGCTCACTGTTTCTCTCTCTCTCTCTCCAGCAAGCACATGTGTCCTAAGGCAAAAGCCTCTTAAAAAAAAAAAAAGTGGGAACCAGCAGTTAGCTTAATGGCTATGTCGCTGGACTCCCACGTAGTCGACCGCGGTTCGTGTCCCGGACCCGGTGGCTTAAAACTCACGCCGGGCGCGTGTGCGTGCGTGCCCAAGATCCCGAGAGGAGAATGGAGGAGAAGGGATTGCGGTGTGACCATCCCCCCTGGGGGGTGATTTCTCGCTTTCTGTCTCTATGTCTCTCTCTCTCTGTCTGGCGAGCGCACGCGCCCTACAGTTCTCAAAAAAAAAAAAAAAAAAAAAAAAAGTAAAAGACCTGAATTGATACGATCAAAGAGAACGTGAGAGAAGAAGCCTGGCGTGCTATGTCCACAAACTATGTCCACAAGAAGGCTGTTCTCCAAAGGATGAGAAGTAACAAATGCTGGTCATTTTAATGTCTTTAAAAATATATACAATACGCAGATGCTCCTCAGTTTATGGCAGGGTTATGTCCGGATGAACCTGTTTTCTGTGGCTTCAGCTGTGTTCCTTTTCCCCTTATACAGAGTCTCGCGGTGTCGTGGTCCTCCTGCCTCAGCCTCTTGAGTAGCTAGGAGTACAGGTGCTGGGATCCAACCCGAGCCACCCACGGAGCCTCAGCCTGCCAAGCGGCAGCCTCAGCCAGTAAGTGCTACCATGTCTGGGCCCAGGTAATGTCTTAAGTTGCATTTAATACCACAATGAGCCCATTGTAAAGAAAAAAAGAAAAAGAAAAAAAGAGGCTATTGAGTTAAACCATTATAAATCAGAGAGTTTTTTCTTTCTTTCTTTCCTAGAGGGCAGGTACACTTGCAGAGAGAGAGAAAGTGAGAAAGCACCCCCCATGGAAGGTCATCACACCGTAATCTCTTCTCCATTTCTCTTTTTGCTATTTTGGACACACACACATAACTGCCCAGTGTGTTTCTTAAGCCTCCGGGTTAGAACTCCATGCAGTGGGCCGTGTGGGATCCAGCTCTTTAAACACCACACTATGGGCTGGCACAATAGAAATGATTTTTAAAGCACAAAATTTAATTCCTCCCCCACCCCATTGTTAACTACACTTCATTAAATTAAAAGGCAAAACAACTAAATTTAGAAATGAGCATTCTACAGCCAATACTTAACTTTTAAGAACACAATTACAAAAGTACATTAATATTTCCAAAATGGTATGCTTTGTGTGAGCGATTTTGAAAGGGTATGAGCTTTAAAAAAAGGAAAAAAAGTTATTGAAGGAGCCTGTTTGTTTAATAAGTTAGCATTCACTAATGGACTATAACCTTAATGTAAGGTTAGTTAAAAATTTACCCATACCCACAGCATTAGAGAGCCTTTGTAGGTTATTTCCAATTATATTTTCTATTCCTAAAAAGAAAATGTAACTGTATCTTTGTTATTTATCTTAAGAATGCATACATAATTAAAATCTTAAAAAGGTAAATAGACTTGGTCCCAGAGAGCGCTAGAGAAGAAAACACTTCTGAAGTGAAATTGTAATACGGTCCATTTCGCTTTCCATTTTGCATATTGAAACTGTAAGTCCTACCATTTATAACCATTTTCTATTCAATTTTTTCAAAATTTAGAAATGGCTAGAAAGGAGATTTCATGCTACATGTTTTCTGAGTCGCAGAAGCAGACTTCTTGCTAATCCGCCCGAGCTCTCTCTCAAAGCCGATGCTGTTTCTGGTTTCTGGTGACCGCCATCCCTGCGGAATAAATGAGCATTATCACAGTCATGTCGAACGTGCAGAAATATTAAATAACTTGCCTAAAGTCAGA